TCCTGCCCTGCTTCCTGCTTCCTATCCTCCTTCCTGCCCTGCTTCCTGTTTCCTACCCTGCTTCCTGCCCTGCTTCCTGTTTCCTACCTTGCTTCCTGCCCTGCTTGCTCCTTCCTGCCCTCCTCTGGTAAACGTGTGCCCTGCTTCCTGCTTCCTACCCTGCTTCCTGCCCTGCTTCCTATCCTGCTTCCTACCCTGCTTCCTCCTTCCTGCCCTGCTTCCTCCTTCCTACCCTGCTTCCTGCTTCCTGTCCTACTTCCTGCTTACTACCCTATTTCCTACTTCCTGTGAGTCGTGGAGCAGAGATATACAGCGACTCCGCCCCAGAGGAGTAGGGACGTGTGCAGACGGGGGCCGGAGCGTGAGGGGAACCAGACCCGACTCACCCTCAGTCTGGACCTTCCTCAGGGTGACAGAGGGCGTGGAGATGGCTGAGGCACGGAAGTTGGCGGGCAGGGTCTCGGCGGAGTCGGAGGTCACGCCCCGGAGGTCCTTCTCCCTGAACATCTTCCTCCAGGAGGGCGAGCGGGTGAACGTCTTGCTTCCGTCCTGACAGACATAAAAAAAAAAACCCCGTTACCCCGAGTCGTTTCAACAAAGCGCTCCTTACTTTTGGAGGGGATGGGCGCGCTCACCTCATCGGGTCGCCTCTCGGTTCCCATGGAGATGAGGGAGTTGTACTCCTGCTCCAGCAGCTGTCTGGCCTGCAACAGAGGGGGGGGGGGGGGGGGTCAGACTCTTATCATACAGCCTGCTCTGCTCTGCTCTGCTCTTAGTGTTTAGGTTTTGCTTGACCGATTTGTTCTAATCAAGGAGTCACTAAACATTCATTATCTTCAGCAAAGAGGCGACAAGAAGTGAAGCAGAGATAAAACAAAGATCCCAATCTGGACTGAGTGTTCTGTAGGACCTGTAAGGCATAAGAATCCAGAGAAGGAAAACAGCCAAATCAATGTAACCCACTCAAGACAAATGAAACCTATAGAATAAAAAGATGGCCTCCATCTCCCAGATAGGATCTCCATTTCAGTTTGAGCAGAGGCATCATCGGCTTTCTACTTTTATTAGAAAAAGAGTGTAACTGATGGGTAAAAGCAGGATAATACCAGGTAGACTATGGAGCTCTGTGGACTTTGGTGTGTCAGTTTGTGTTTTGCTTTGTGGGTTTTTCAAAACTTGCTTGTTAAAACTGATCCCAGCTGGTGTGGCCTCTGACTTTCTGCTAAGCTAACTTCCTGTTCTTGTTTAGACCCGGATTCATTTCACACATTACCGCCACCTGATTGAGTTTCCTCTGTATAAATACCGCTTGTTTTTCTTTTGTTAGGGGCTGTCAGCCCCGTCTGGGATGGAGCTGCCAGAGGAGTGTTTTGATTATCAGGTTGCTTGGATTTTCTGCCTCTGCAACGGCTTTTGTTTATTCAAAAATCCAATGTTAGCTCAGACATCTCGCAGCCTCCCGCCTGCTGGGTTCTGCGTTTAGGCCGTCTGCCTCTCCACCATGGGTGCTCAAGACTGCCTGTTACTGGTTTAAGATGGACCCACGGACCACAGTAGAGTATGATGGGGAAAAGTAGATACTCTACCCAAGTACAAATTAAAATCAGGTCAAAAATCCTTAATTTTCTATTTAAATTGACAGGATATTAATATTTTTTTTAGAGATATATTAAGAAGAATCAGGCTGAAATTAATCACATCTAGAAGAGTTTTACTTAATAATTTCAGTCAAATTTAGTCAGAAGCTAGTTCTCCCTTTGATTTTCATCATCATCCACAACCCCTTAACAGACATTTAAAGACTCGTTCAGTTTATCATGAGTCTGAAACGACTACTTACTTACTTACTCACTAACCTAAACTAAATTAGCAGTGTGGGGGTTCTTTTAGTGGTGAGTGGAGGCGGGGGATTTGGGTGATACCGGGCCGGTACCTGCGTGTTCTGGTTGGGGATCTGGAGCAGCAGGGCCAGGTCGGTGTAGTCGAAGGTGTCGTCCAGAGCCAGCAGGGCCCCGTGGACGCCGCTCTCTCGCAGGTTGTCGGCGTACTCCTTCAGGCCGATGGTCTGCACCCAGAACATCACGCGCTCGTTGGACCACACCATCACATCTGGAGGGGGGGGGGGGGGGGGGGCCAGCATTCATCAGTTCCCTGTTTGCACCAGGCTTTTCCTCAGAGCTGCACGTGGATGCCTTCGGACAACCCGGAGTGCATCGGTCTGTGTAATTCCTCCATGATGGAGCGGCTGTTGACGCACAGCATGTTTCCCCAGGCCGGGAGAGGGCTGCACGTGATTGCAGGGCCCCTTTAATCACTGGGTTTGATGACATTTATGCAGCTCTTACTCAGAGAAACTAGTAAAAACCTGCCTTACAATATCTGCTCACAGTGAGAAAAAAAAACAATCAATTACAATGTAAACATCCTCCAGGAAAGTGAAAAAAAAGACGACGTCAAAGGAAACATCTGTCTTGTCTGCTATGAAAATTACAACCATTTCATTTTATTTGACAGGCTAGTTATTCATATATATATATATATAAATTCAAAGCAGTTGCTGTGAAATGACCTGATCATAATGTGCACCGCCCCTTTTTAAAACAATAAATGATTTAATTCAGTTCAGTCAGGGAAGTGCAATTACAATTCTGTACTAACTAAAATCATTCAAATAAAATAAAATAAAGTTTAACTGTTTAAGTTATGATTAAAAACATCAGAAAATTTTGAAAATCTATTTTTTATTTATTTATTCCTTCACATCAATAATCGAACCACAGAACAATTTCACATAGAGGATTAAAAACTCTAATTTCACTCCATAACCAACATATCATTCTAGTCATAAACCGCTCTGAGACATTAATGACAGTCTGGCTTATATGTTCTGAGCTTTTCCAAAATAGAACCCTCCTCCTGTCTTTGCCATCTTCCTTTGCTCTCACCTTTGTTCTGGTGCGCGCTGTCCTCTCTCCTCCTCTCCAGTTCTTTGCGATCGTAGTTCAGGCGCTTCAGGCACATGATGCCGTAATGCAAACTGACCCTGGGAGAGGTCAGAGAGCCAGAGGGTCAAAAGCTGCAGGCCGCTTCACTGAGGCGGCCATTTTTCAGTAGAGCAAACAAACCGAACATCTCTGAACCACTCGGTTCCTCTAAAAGAAATCTTAGCGTCCAGCAACGCCTCCACACCCACACATGCACAAACTCAGGCAGGCCTCAGTAAAAGCGGCAGAGATGAGAGAAGACCGAGAGATGTGAGCAGACCTGTGGAAGCTGTCCACCATTTTTAGCTGTCCCCTCAGCTCCTTCTTGGTCAGGTGGTCCAGCATGCGGGCGTCCACCAGGGACTCCATGAAGTAGCTGCGGTACTGCGGCAGCCCCAGGCTGGGCAGCCAGTCGTTGCCCACCCACTCGTGATTCATGTCGCCGTAGGCCAGTATCTGCGGGGGGGAAAGGTGCAGATGACGGGCGCTTATTCACGCTCGGCCCGCCGCGCGATGTCTGACCACTCATGACTCACTCGAACCGTCTCAGTGGCAGATAAACACGCGGCATGCTGCGCTTAAGTGGACTTTTTAACTCTATAATGCGAAATGTATCATATTTGATACACACGGTTTCTGAAATGTTTTGCGTCTGACACCTTTTGCATGATTTAATGGTAAAAACTTTGCTCAAAATCCTAATTTACACAATCAGATATACTTGATAACAGGGGGCAGAAGACTACACAAAAAATAATCTTGACTTATCGCATAGTATTATATTAATATTAAAAATGTATTTCTGTTTTTTCTTTTTACTTATTTTGTTAAAAAGCCAAATAAAGACTTCAAACAAAAAAAAAGTAATTTTCTGTTTTGTTTTATTCTTGGATCAGGCTTTAAAGGGTTAAAGGCGGAGCGGCTCCTTACCTGATCCCAGCTGAACTCTTTCAACTCCTGAAAGAGGCAGAGAGAGAGAGAGAGAAAGACGGAGCGGGAGAGAGAGTGAAGTGGAGGTGGAGGTGAGGGGGGGGAAGCAGGGGGGTCGAAAGATGACCGGGGAAAAGCGGAGGAGGGAGAAACGACAGCAGCAGCAGCAGCGGGGAAAAGAGGACAAAAGTGAGGAACCGTGTGTTAGTGAACGGGTAATTAGTCGGAAGCAGTTCACACAGAAACAGCGACCACGGGGAGAGAGAAGATGCTCAACACTATGGCCTGGGCCCACGGAGAGGCAGACGAATACACAGAAAATACAGAGAGAGAGGGGGGGGGGGAAGGGGAGAGACTCGTCAACATGATTCAGACCACACAGGACGCTCAGCAGCATGTCAAAACTGACTCATGTAACCAGAAAAACGGACTGGTGAGACTGTAAAGGGGGCGGGGGGGGCACTAACCGGGGGCTTGGTGGCCGCGTTCAGGGACTCCATCTCTGCGTGGGTCATCCACACGTTACTGGTCGACTGCAGGGAGGAGAGAGAGAGAGAGAGCCGTGAGACGCAAGACAAAACATCCCAATCTCTAAGACGTCTCTTCCTCTGCCAACAAAAAGAAAATTTAAAAAAAAAGGCACAGCAGAATGCTGTCAGCCGGCCAGAGCTCCCCCCCCCTGTCACGGTGATTTCCAGAAACAAGAGGTCCGACCGGTTCCCGCACCCGTAATTGATGTCTGTTTAAAGCGTTCCTACCCAGCCTCCCTCCGGCTATCCCGGCCTTGTTATGGTACTACTGTAGAGAAACACCGACTCTGCCAAGGCAAACCACAGAGTGGATTTCTTTCCCAACTCCAAGACAAACAGAGAAAAATGGCCGTCGGCGATTTCTGCGTGTTTACGTTTCTGGAAATCAGGAGCTTAATTTTCTGTCTGCGGAAAGAGTTTTTGACAGCCGGGCTCTGTTCTTTGAGTTTCCCTCCCTTCATATGTGCATGAGCCAGAAGTGGGGGAAAAAATAAAACTGCTACACTTAGATTAGTGTTTGCTTATTTCTTGGTGAAGTCTGTTTTGTATCACAGACACAAAATACTCCACACATCTCTATTTTTTTTCTAACATCTCTAATCTAATCTAATCTAATCTAATCTAACTCTTTAAAGCTTGATCCAAGAAAATTGGAAGAATATTGGATTTTTTTAGCCTGAAGTCTTTCTTTGGCCCCTCAACAACATATTAACAAAAAAAAACACAAATTATTTCAAAAGTCCCAAAAATATTTTGGTGTAGTCTTTTACTCGCTGTTATCAGGTAGATCTGAAAAATTATGAAAATAAATAAATAAATAATAAAATAATAAAAAAAACTAATAACTAAATAATAAAAATGATCAAATGTATTGAATTGAATTGAATGGGTACAACAGGGGTTTGAGCAAAGCTTTTACCACTGAATGATGCAAAAAAGTCTCAGACCCAAAAGACTTCAGAAACCGTATGAATCAAATATGATACATTTGGCATTATAGGGCTAAAGCCGAATGCCACCTATGGGGATGATTAGGCTTTCTAAAATGGGATCCTCTGGGTGAACTTTGACCTTTGGGACTGACCGATCGGGTGCTGGCCGGGGCGGAGGGGCTGGTCAGGGACACCATCTCCTGGATGGCCAGCCGCAGCTTGAGGCGGTGCAGCGGGTTGCTGATGCCGATCTCCCTCTGGATCTCCGTGTCCGACAGGTTGGCCATGATGGCGCCGCTCTTCACGTTGGCGCGGCAGGCCGCCACGTACCAGGCCGGCATGCCCACCCACAGCTGGGGGGGGACCAGGGTCACGCCATTAACTCATTGGCTGCCAAAGACGTCTATAGACGTCAATTCAAATACAACTGTTGACTGCCAAAGACGTCTATAGACGTCTTTTATGTTTTTCAACGAGAGTGGCTTGGGGGACGATCTGCTAAAGCTTGTCCGTAAATATCAGGCTTCTAGACAGAGTATGTACTAACAAATTGACCCTCTAGGTGGCAGTGCCACTTTTGATGGGAGATGAGCATAGACTGTAGGCAAATAAAAAAAAGGTAACGGTTCGCTATGAGAGAACATGTCGCCGGTGAGATGCAAGTCGAGGAAGAACGGAATAAGCTAGAAACAATTTTTTTTCCCTGATGAAAGACGAGAGTCTACTCTTTCTTTTGGTGTGTTCTGTGTTTACATAGTCATAGCACCAACTATTCTGTGGCTCTTGAAAAATCAGTCAAAATGCTCAAAAAACTCTGGCAGTATGGGACTCTCTGTTCTGAAAATGGCTGGCAGTCAATGAGTTAAGGACCGGTATTTTGACCCTGGTTTCTCCCCCCCCCCGCCCAGTGTCGCTTACCTCCAACCAAGACACGACAGTGGGTCCGTCCCAAGAGGCGAAGGGAAGTCCTTGGCGACAGGCTTCTTCCAGAAGCTCATGCCTGAAGAGACCAGCAGCCATTAAGCAGGTCTATACTAAATAAACAGTAAAAATTCACTATTGTAATTCACTTACTTCTTCTTGCTGCGCCGGTCTTTATCCGCTGGACCCAGGGTTCCCGTCTTATTAATTCCCATTGCGTCTCCAGAGGACAGGTCCTCAGAGGGTGTGGATGCTAACACAAACACGATGTTAGGAAAGCCAAAGCCAATCAGAGCCAGGCCTCTGAACGCAGCGATACGCCGTCCGTTTACCCAGAGAAGAGGACCCGTCGCGCCCAGGCTGGCCCATCCTCCCTTTCTCCTTCTTCCCAAACAGCCGGCCGATGGAAGACTTGATGCTTTTCTTCTTGCTGGACTTGTGGAGAGAGTCTTGGCTGCTGTTGGAGCTGCTGCCGTCCGCAGAGAGACTGGACGAGGCGAGAGAAATCAGAGCGTTACGCAGGAAAAGAGAAGCATGGCGTAAGGAGCAGGAGTCAAAGAGGGGGGGCTTTACCTGCGGAACTCCCTGGGATCGTCGAGCATGGCCCCCGGATGGGTGAGGGTCATTCTGTCCAATCGGAGCGCTCGGGGAGTAGGGGGGGGCGTCGAGTCGAGCAGAGCGAGGGACCGGTCGTCTTCTTTGCTGTTCTGAAACGTGAGAACAGCAAACGCACATGAAACGTTCTAAATTGAATGTTTTTCCAAGAAAAAAAATGCAACTGTTGACAGAAAATGGCCAAAAACGCACATTATCAGACACAGAGTAAGAAGCCAGTCTCAGATAGGCATCAACTGTTGAAGTTAGCAGCAGTTTTTTGCGCACTCAAAGTCAGAGGTAATTTACTAAATTGATCCAGTAAAATAGAAAGATTCCCCTCTCAGTTCACGGTCACACACGTCCCCCTGAGCCCTGCCTCTCAGCAACACCAAGACTGTTTGTTTTGGGCTCCGTTATTTGGATATCCCTCAGTTGTCTGTCTTGGCTTAAATTCTGTTTTGGCATCTTTTGAAAACCTGCGTCATCAGACACATTGTCTGCATAATGACAGATTGATTTTGTTTAAAGCGTCACCTCTAATAATCCGTACGCCCATTCCCGGAGCGTGGAAAGTTTCAGGCACGCCGGCCTTGCCAAATCTCACATTCTGCTATCGACTTTTTTGGTCTCAGAGATGGGATTCGGCCTCGGAGTTACCTGTCTGTCGGTGTCCCGGGCCGGGGAGTGGGGCAGGCGTGGGGTGGAGGTCCCAGAGCTGGGGGGAGAGGGGGAGGCCAGGGTGGAGGAGGTGATGGAGGAGGGGAACAGGCCCCGCCCGGTGCCGTCCCGGCCCAGGGAGGAGGGGGGGACGGGGGGGCTGTCCAGAGCCACGCTGACCCGGCTCTCGATCTCCTCGGCCCGCAACTCCGTGTTCTCTTTCTCCTCCTGGATCAGCCTGGGTTTAGGAGGAAAAACAGGAAGCGTTTTGGTGATTGTTCGGCCTACCCAACAGAAGTGGAACAGCCATCTGTTTGCCAAAAGGTTAACCTTTAGGATTCTTTAGGATTCTAAAGACTTTCCAATCTCACCAAGTCAGAAAATGTCAAGTTCTCCTCTAAAAGCTGAACTCAGCTAGGTAGTATTAGCTAAACCCACACCACAGCATTTATAGCGCAAGCTAATTCATAACTTTTAAACTTAAAGTCCATTCAATTTATTGGTGAATAATCCAGTGAAACGATTGGATTTATGTACCCCCCCCCCTCCAAGATTGGAGTAATCTAATTAAGCAAATCAAGACAAAAATGATTTATCTTGTCCCATTTCTCATAAAATAACAGTCTTTTCATTGACTATGACCAGGCTATAATTATTAGGCTAAAATGCTCCACCTTCATTCACATGCACAACAAATTTCTCAAGTGGGGGATTTAATTATGGAGTTGAACCTGCAATTGACCAAACATTGCCCTAAAAACGTACTGACAATTAATGATGATACGATCATTTGTTGTATCTTCAAAAGTCCTCCATTAGAAGGGAAAGAAAAAGTCAAATTTTCCCACAGCAGAAACCCAAGTTTAGACTCTCTGATGATGGAGCTCATCTAAAATGTAGTTTGTCTTGCTGAAAAGAGCAAGTTCTTCTTTGCTAAAGACGTATGGATTGAAGTAAGCTTCAATGCCTAACTAATAAACCTTTTAACACAAGTTCATCTACAGAGATGCACGTGATATGCGCACGTGCACATCACCATTATCACGAGCTGCATTGATGTGGTTTCTATTCTCATTATTCATCTAAAATAATTTTAGATGTGGACTACAGGATACTGTTCACGAGTCAAAGTAGGAGTTTAAATCTTCATTTTCTGTCTCTTTGACCAAAATAAGCATCTATTCAGGCCCATCGCAGCGTTTCAGATGATGAGCTGTGGAGCCAGAGAGATTTCCCATTCAAAAGTTATTAACAATAACCGGCTTAAGATAAAAATCCAGATTAAAGTTTTGAAAAAAATCCATGACCTCAGCTTTATGTTGTGGCCTTTTGGAAAGGGTGAACTCTGGTTTATAAAGCAGTTAAAATCAAGCAGCCATGTTCAAGCAGCTGCAAGCTGCTAAAGGGATTAAATCTATTTTGCATCAGTTTCAAATGAATAAAAATAGTACATAGATACGAATCCAAATGTAATCTGAGTGCTGCATCTATCATGGGAGAGATGGATGTGTTTGTCTTGAGGCTTCAGCGGGATATGTTGTGTTTCAGGTGTAGAGGGAGGTGTTTCCCTAACATTCCTCTCTGCCGTTTCCTTACTTGATCTCCTTGTTGATGGCCTCCAGCTGCCTCTGCAGCATGATGGCCAGAGTCTGCACATCCGTCTGCCCACTGGGGGACAGCAGCTCCGAGCTGAAACGAGGCTCTCCGTCGTCTTCGTCAGAGCTGCCCACATCCATGCCCGGCTCGTACCCGGTCCCCAGCAGAGCCCCGCTCTCCCAGTCTGGGTACTGCGCAGAAACAACAAAGCAGAGGAGGTTCTACACTGTCCACCAACAGCATCCTGTTCATACGTCAAAGTCCCCTCTTTAGGATTTCCAACTACTCTTATCTAATTTTGTGTTTTTTTTTGTTTTTTCCCCTCAAAATGTCTGGAAAAACTATGGCATCTAACCCCCAACTATGAGAAAAATCATTGAGTGGCAGGTTTTGATGTTGTATAAACGATAGGGTAACAGCATTTTTCCTATTTACAGAAAATGGCAATGTGCATCTCTATAATAATTACACAAGATGTATTAATTCTACGTGGCTTTTCTTCCATTGTTGAACACTGGACCTTAAATATACAGACGCTGTAGAAATGGAGAGTTTGTATGAATAGCAATGCATGTTTGTGTATCCATTATCAGGATGCACAGCAGTTCACTCATTCTGCTCTCAAAGCGTTTTTTCAAAAATGTCTTGGAATGGACAAAAAGTTTGGAAATAAGAAACTTTGTCAAACAAAGAAAAAGTTTTTTAAGCTTTCACCGTAAAGTCGTGCCTCCTTTAATATATCGAGCAGAAATAACTTTTTTAACGGCTTTATAACGGCTAATTTAGCTGTCATGAATCAATCTAAAGGGATTAAAACACTCTGCACTACTTTTCAGCAGCACTTTGCTATTAATCATTTTGGGGGCGGCATTTGTATGTAATAGTAACTTAATTTAAATACAAACAAATTATTTTTAGGGTGCAACTTTGGTTATTTAATCTCATTGCCAATAAACTGGTCCTGCTGTTAGTGTCTTTTTATTTTGTACTTTGTAAAAAATTTTATTCAGATTCTTCTTTGTTCCCTCCAAGAATGAAAACGAACAGCAGGACACAACAATCTACTTTTGGTTTAAATGTCTGCAAATGGAAGGAGAAACAGAGGGAGTCCCAGGTCTTTTTTTTTTTTTTTTTTTTGAAGGTTTACCTTGCTGGAGTCTTCCCGGGCGGAGCTCCAGCGAGCCCGGTGGCCTATTCTGACCATGCCCCCGGCCGAGGTGTTGCCAAAGGAGTCCAGGTGGGTGGTGGAGCCCGCTGGGAGGGACCCGCCTCCGTGGGAATACCTCAACTCCAGAGCGCTGCCGGGCAGAGAGCGACTGCAGAGAGAAAAAAAAAACAGTTAAATAGTCATTAATCCTCTGGAGTGTCGAGATCTGTCAGCTTTGATGACGTCAGGACAGAAACATGGATGGATGTATCTTAGTTTACGAGGTCCCCCCAGTGAGTGGCTTCCTGTTTGGGGTTTGTTTGTGCTATACCTGGAGTAGGAGCCCCCAGGCCGAGCTCTCAGCTGATCCAGCTCCAGCTGAAGGCGCTCCAGCTCTGCTATCAGCTGGTCCTGGAGGGGGGAGAGAAACAGGACATGAGTGTGAGTGTGTGTGTGTGTGTGTGTGTCTGTGACAGCTGAGAGAGGGAGGCCTGGAGCTGTGGTCACCTTGTTTGCTAACAGGTCATCCTGGAGCTTCTTCATGTTGGACAGCTCCTCAGAGAGAGCGTTCTGCACAAAAAACAACAGGGTGAGGGGGGAAAAGAACCTGAGGGGTTTCCTCACACAGATTTATTCAGAAAAACGCGATTTTTTGCAGTTTTTTTCTGTTTTGGTCTTAATCAGGAAAGGTCAGCGGCTTCTGGAGGCCTTTGAAATCCTTGCTTCGGTCACCTTTTCCTCCAGGGCGGCCATCCTCTCCTTCAGGTGGAGCTGGAGCCTCTCGTTGGACTCGGACAGGAGTTTGTCCACGGTGTCGGAGAGCCGCTTGTTGTGTTCGTCGTTCATCCTCTCCCTTTGCCTCGCCTGGGGGGGAGACAAGTGGGCAGTGGGGGGGTATACGGGGTAAAGGGCAGCGCGTGGATAAGGGAGAAGACGTGGTGGGAGGAGAGTTAACAGCGAGCGGCTGGTGCCAGACAAAGATTTCTATCTGGATGCAAACGGTCAAATGGAGGGGTTTAGAAAATCAAAGCGCCTTTGTGCCGCGCACACAAAAACCCCCGACAAAAAAGGAGCGGCGGGAACGAGGGGGTGGGATGAACAGAGGGAGAAGGAGCGAGCGTGCGTGACTCACTCTCTGCAGCTCCTGGTTCTTCTCCTCCAGTTGCGCCTCCATCTGTCGCAGACGCTCCTCAAAGTTGCCGTGGCGCTCCTCCGCCTGGGCCACATGACACACAAAAACGGCAGAGAAACGCGTGTTGAGTGAGCGGAGCGTGAGTTTATGATGAGAGACTACCACGACCCGGCCACAGAGGCCATCAAGTATGAGCATGTGCGGGAGACGCGGTGGCCGGGGGAGAGGGGTATTTATTTATCTATCGTGGGAGGAGAAGGGAGTACCGGATCAGTTCTGAGCAAGAGGGAAAAACTTACTGAGCGGCGGGATTGGTTGACAATTAAATGAGGGATGTGCGCAGAGGGCAGATCTTGGCACGCCGTGCGCCTCGGGGAAAAAAATAGCTGAGCCGACGGCTCCCGGCTCGCTTTCATCTCCCGCAGAAGGCCTTTGATTTATTGACGTCTGCTCGCTGTCGACGCTCGGCGTTCATCTGCCATTTGGAATCCTGTTTTTTTTTTTTTTTTGTGTGTGTCACTTGCTCACGGAAACGCAGTCACGCAGCTTCATGCTTGCACCTGCATACCCGCACACACACAAACTCACACACACACACACACTCACTGACACACGCTTCCGATCTCGTGTCTGCAGAGGGGTTCAGTCTAAGTGCAAATGCGGCTCATTTCTGCTGCTCTCAAAAGCTGTTTGCATTCTGAATGAGGACCAAGGAGTGTCTGGCCGGTTTGCCTTCTCTAAGACGCACACACACATGCACACACACACACACACGCACACACAGACCTTGTTGAGCGCTGCCACTCTCTGGGCGAGCTGGGCTTCGATCTCGGGCAGCGTCTCGGCCCTCTGCAGGGTCTGCTGCAGCTTCTGCTTGGCATCGTCCAGCCGCTCCTGAAGCTGCCGGTTCTTCTCTTCGCTCTGAGGGAGGAGGGGGGGGGACAACAACAGGGAGGCGGAGCTCAAACCCGGAGCCGGGACTGACCAGAGCAGGACTCACAATCGAAGACAGAGCGCTTCCCCACCTGTCGGTGCAGAGACTCCTTGCTGGCCAGCTCGTTCTCCAGTTTGTCCTTAATGTCGTGGAGAGACGTCGCCTCCCTCTGGGCGCTCAGATACCTGCAAACGGAGCCAGGCCGCGCTAGGAGGAGGGCCTTTTAACTCATTGGCTGCCAAAGACGTCTATAGACGTCAATTCAAACACAACCATTGACTGCCAAAGACATTTATAGACGTCTTTTATGTTTTTCAACGAGAGTGGCTTGGGGGACGATCTGCTAAAGCTTGTCCATAAATATCAGGCTTCTAGACAGAGTATGTAGTAACAAATTGACCCTCTAGGATGCAGTGCCACTTTTGACGGGATGTGAGCATAGATTGTAGCCAAATAAGAAAAACGTAATGCTTCGCTATGTGAAAAATGGAATAAGGTAGAAACTAATTTTTTTTCCTGATGAAAGAAGAGAGTCTACTCTTTCTTTTGGTGTGTTCGGTGTTTACATAGTCGTAGCACAAACTATTCTGCGGCTCTTGAAAAATCAGTCAAAATGCTCAAAAAACTCTGGCAGTATGGGACTCTCTGTTCTGAAAATGGCTGGCAGTCAATGAGTTAAAAAGTGGACAATCTGAGAGATAAAAAAACACGGCGAACCTGCGCTCCAGCGTGGTGATCCTCTCCTCCATGTCCTCCCTCTGGCAGAGGGCCTGAGAGAATGAGGAGGCAAAAGGAGACGCGCATTAGAGCGGGAAAAGGGCAAACGCAAAGTTTACAAAAAGCTCGTACTCAGGGGGAGTTCACTGGGGCCTCAACTGTCGCCTTTAGCTGAAGGATGATAGTGGCTTGTCGACAGTTGGTGTTGACAGATTTCAGAAGGGTAGAGGAAGATAAAAGGGCAGGAAGGGAAGTGAAATTTTGTGTTTCCCCACCTCATTCCTCAGGGCACACTGCCCTGCAGGTTTTCCACACCTGACTCAAACCCCCCCGCTCTGTCAGACAAACCGGGTCCGACTCGGAGGAGAGAGAGACCCGGTTGCCATGGCGACCGGGTGCAGCCGCCACCAGGCGAGCGAGCGCTTAGTTTCCATGGCAAAAGGCTTTCATAATTCTGCTTATGAGGAATAAAAAAAGCCCAGTTCCCGAGCTGTTAGACGCACGCTGAGAGTCTGACCTCTTTCAGGTCCCGCTGCAGTTTCTGGTTGGCCTCCTCGGACCGGGTCAGCTCCCTCCTGGCGGACGTCAGCTGCTCCTCTATCTCCCCCACCTGGCAGAGAGGGAGAGCGTGGGACAGGAGGCCCGGGGCTGGTGCGGTGCCCGGGGCCTTTGTGTGGCTGTGGCTGGTGAGTGGGGGGGGCACCTGTCGGCACATGAGGGCCAGCCTCTCCTTCAGCTGGCCCAGCTCTGACCGCTGGCGCTCGATCTCGCCCTCCCTCTGCCGGTCCACGTCGCCGTCGTCCAAGATGGAGGACGGTCCGTTCGGCAGCCGCTGAATGACAACAGGAGCACTTTAAGTTCAGGAAAAAAATAACCGATAGGCGCTTTGCTCATCGTTTAGAAACATACACGGTGTCAACATGTACGGTGAGTTTCTTCTCAGCTATGAACTTCAACTTCCTGACCATGACATCAAACTGGGACGAATAACAGTGATGTAATCTGTACATTTGAACCTCTTTATGAATGCATCTGCCAGCGGTTCTCAATGGGATTGATGGTGTGATAGAACAGATAGCACTTTTGTGCAAACAATATGTGCATATAGCAGAATATGTGCTGGAAAATATTCGTAAATAAGAAACAGGAAAAAGGACTGTCATGCAGAGGTAGAACTGAGTTAAACTGAGCTTTACAACACTGAAAAACAGGATTTCTTAGTGGTTAAAGTTCTCTAATTTGCAGCTAAGTTTGCATGGCTGCCTCTGGGTTTAATTATTTTGTCATCAGGGCATCATAGAAAAAATTATTCCAACCTCCGGCAAACATCACGTGTCCTTCAAAGTCTTGATTTATGGTTCAGGATAAGGTTAATGGTCATATGATGCTCTGTCTTCATACTAGTGTTAAAAAAATTAAGAGTAGCTTTTCTGTCCACACACAAGATGGCAGCACAAAAAAGAGTCAGGTCTAATTTGTTCAAGTTATATAAAGCCAATTATATCATTACGTCATTAATCTTGAAAAGCTGCCTCGCTGAGAAAAAACAGAGGACTGCTTTGAATGTTCTCTCATATTCAGCCCCCCCCCCCCC